TACATTCTCAACATATTCGCCTCTAGGCCTTTCATAACGTCCAAGTCGGCCCAAGAGACTCCCAAGACGGCCCAAGAGGCTCCCAAGAAGGTCCCAAGACGCCCAAAGAGAGCCCAAGAGTGCCCCAAGGGCCCCCAAGACAGCCCAAGAGACCATCTGGACGGGCCGCACAGGCGTCCCAGAAAACGAAAACCAAGTTCAAATTTCAAGCCTTCGGCTTCAAGAGGCCCATAGGATGCCCCCAGAGGCCCCCAAGAGGCCCCACGGGGCCCCAAGAGGCCCCCAGAGGCCCCCAAGAGGCCCCCAGGCGGCCCCCAAAAAGCTCCCATGAGGCCCCCAGGACGCCCCAAAAAGCTTCCAAGAGTCCCCTCCCCGGACGCCCCGGGCCACTCCTGGCGATCGCGAGGCTTCTGACCAGGAGAGGCAACGAATGGGCTTCCTGACGCGCTCTTGGGCCGTCTTCGAGCTTAAGGTGCCCCAATCAAGGCCCAACAGGTCCCAGAAACGCCCAAGGATAGCTTCCCCAGGGTTCCCAAGAGACCCTCCAGAAACAACTGACCCGGAGACGCACCCAACCCTTTGTACACAAGAGGCGACTATACCCAGGACAGTTCATTTCCAACTTACGCCTTGAAGGATTCGCAGTATCCTTGAACGCTTCGCCAAAGAACGTGAGGCCGCAGACCAGTGTTCCCCATTCACGGCATCACTCTTGCGACTTATATCATCGGAAAGAGGGCGATCACGACCTGCCAAAGGAGCAATGACGAGGGGGCCACGAACGTGGCGACAGCTTCGCTGTTCGAAGCCCCCCGGGACGGCGAGGCCTCATTCTGGTCCGCGGATCACGCCTCTCCGCTGGACCCGCCAGCGGCCCACGAAGGTAGCGACAGTTTCGCACATCGCAACCCCCCACTCGTTCCCTCGTTCCTTTCCCAGTTTATCATTTTCCTCTTCCTCCTGTTCTGACTCCCTCCCCGTCCTATCTCGCCCTCCTGGTGTCATCCTCCTCCCCCTTCTGTCCTCTCCTCTCTCTCTCCCTCCTCCTTTCCTCCTCACCTTCCCCGACCGTCTCTCTTTCCCTTTTTCCTCGCCCTCCTCTCCTCTTCTGCCCTTCATATCATTTCCTCCTCTTCTTTCCCGATCGTCTCACTGCAATGCTCGGCCCTCTCAGAGGGCTACTGATTCCCAAGAGCAGCGCGACGACCATGCAGCATGCAGTCTGTTTGGCCCGGGGGACGTCCAGAGACAAGTTTCGGGTGCGTCTTTGCGGAGGTGGCCGCGACCCCCCTCGTGGCCACCGTTCCCTCTAACCCTTCATCGGTGACCATGGCCTCGTCGCGGTATGTCGCCGTCTCCCAAACACAGGAATGCTTATGACCCGTCCGGGAATTATGACGGACCGCCACCCTTCTCACGGTCATCATGTGCTTGCAGACGTCATCCATTCACCGAATGTTTGGGTGCGCATGGCCGCAGGACCAAGAGTGAGGCGAAGCGAAGCGAGCCCTCAAATCTTGTGTATATATATACACAAGACGGCATTGGCGCCTCGCGCCATGCGCCTTATTCCGGACGCTTCCCCGGCAAAGCAATAAATCATCGCTTGCTTCAGCAGGGGGACCTCGAGGCCTGGACGGGCGATCGGCTAATTTTTCCGATTTCCCTGGTGCTTGCTGACACCGCGCTCGCCCGATGCGCTTGCACGCATGTGCGCAGGAGTGGGGAAGGAGTGCTGTTTTTTCACGCGCGAAGGTGCTGGCAAACGACGAAGCGTCTAACTGTTGCGATGGCACCTGTCCATCAATGGGGAACGGGAAGGGAGCAAGCACTTGCGGGGACTGAAGAGGCGGAAAGGGGGGAGGAGGGGGGGAGAAACGGGGAGATGGTCCAGAGGAAGGAGCGGGCGAATGAGGATGGCCATCGGATGCCACGGACGTGGAGGTCGACGAAAAGTCACACGGGGGAAGAGAGAGATAGAGAGAGAAAGAGAGAGAGAGAGAGAGAGAGAAAGAGAGAGAGAGAGAGAGAGAGAAACAAAAAAAGAAGAGCACGGATAACGCCGTCTGGGCGTTTGGGGGGCTCTTTTGGGCCGTCCTGGGGCCATTTTGGGCCGTCCTGGGGCCATTTCGGGCCGTCTTGGGGAGTTGGGGCCCTCCAGAGGTCTTCTGAAAGCATTTAGGGCCCTTGTGGGGGCAGTCTCCTTTTGGGGGTCTCCCATGGCTTTCGTGTGTCTCTCTTGGGAGCCTTCTGGGGGCATCTTGGGCTTCGTGTGGGCAGTTTCGGGGCTCGCTAGGGCAGTCTTGGGCCCTCTCGGGCCGTCTTCAAACCCTCTGAGGGGCCTCTTGGGCCGTCTTGGGGCGATATCGGGGGCCCATCGGGCCGTCTTGGACGCTGCGAAGACCAAAACAGCGGATATGCTAAACATGTATGCTTTCCCAAAAAGGAATGGAGCGATTTGCTCTTGGGACGTCTTGGGGGCCTCGTGGGCCATCTTCGGACCGTCGAGGTTCCTCTGGGAGCGCTCTTGTGTTGTCTTGGGTCTTGCGCCTCTCCGATGACCCCTCTGATCGCTTTGAACCTGCTCGCAAAGGCCTGGCAAGGCGCCCTTGGAGGCCCGGAAGGGCCAGCGGACCTTTTCCAAGGGCGTCCCGGGGGCCGCCGAGACGTCCGAAAGGAGTGTCCGGGGCATCCTTGGGGGGGGGGATCTGGTTTAGATGGGGGGTGAGGGGGGGTCCCCGGTAATCAAAATATATGGATAGGAATATAGGCGTCGTGGCCCCGTGCGCAGCGACAGGGCGTATCAAGGTCAGAGAAGAGGGCGCGCGCGCGATTAACGGCCAAGCCCCCTAGCCGATAAGAGCCAGTAACACCGCTGCCAGCCGTAAGACATCCAGGCCTAGATGACGGCGGGGGGCCCGACGAGGTATAGGCAGGTAGTCGACCGGCGTGGAATTTACAGCCCACACACACCAACACCCACCCACACCCACACCCACACCCACAGGACTCATGGGCCGAATGGGGCTTATTTAGGTTCACGGGCTCTGCGATTCATACGGGCTCTGTGTAAAATATTCGCGGCTCGTCCAGGCCAGGATGGCCGTAAGGGCCATAGGGGCTGCATGAAGCACGACGCTTGTAGGACTCATAGGACTCATAGGGCTCATGCAGCTCAAGCGGCAGTAGGCCCCACAGGGCTCATAGGGCTCATTGGGCTCAAGCTGCCTGGAGGGCCCATCGGGCTCATGCGGCTGAGGGAGCTCGTAGCGCAATGGGCCTATAGGGCTCATAGGGCTC